TTACTGCATATTTTCCCAGTCTATCCAGATAGGCAAGAAACATATTTTCAAAGGTACATGGTCACTGAAGGACGCACCTAGGCACCTACCCGAGCAGGTGAAATCCCATAACATTTTCTTGGATGCATAAGCACCTATGAAAACCTGCTTCTGAGTGTTTCAGAAAAAGGGCTGAAGTTTCCTGGTAAATAACAAGCATTTGTGAATGTCCTTAAAAACAACAGGACTGGCAAGGACTTGGTTAAAAGACACTGTGATCGAATAGAGTACAAAACCAATATGTAACTGGAGATAAGAAATCTGAAGAAAAGAGATTAATACTTCTAGAAGTTTAGGAAAATGGAAGATTGCTGAGAAAAGGCACTTCAAGATAACTGTTTTCTGGCACTGCTTCCAAAACATCCTAGCTTAATTCCAATGTTTTTCTATGCAAATTCAATAGCTATGAAGGCATAACATATGTCTGTCTCCCAGCAATAGCTGTCCCTTGTGTAACCTCATGACTTAACAGCACTGATAAATGTACTGAACTCTACTAACGGTAGGAACAATGGGTTTTTGAGCACATGCAGCAATGAGTTAATTTAATGAAATTTTGTGTCATGCTTAGAAACAACACTTTCTTACCATTATCAGAGGCCCAATCATGCAGGTTGAAGACAGACTAATAGAACTACAGTGCAAGTAATTTTTGTCTCTTTCTTCTATGGAAAAACAGAGGATAATTTTCATGCCACTCCTGAAACAAACTAAAGGTCATCCTCTGAACAGTATCCAAAACTTAGTATTAGACATAAATCTCTGTACTGCAGACTCCAATAGTTTGTCAGGAGTTCATTGCTCCATGCAGCAGCAGAAGGAACAAGGCTTGACAGCAAGTATTTAACTAATTGAGTCTAAATTTCTGGATTTGGAAACCCCTTGGTGTTCCAAAACAACTGCTGGCAGCAGTGAAAAGTTCAGCTGCGGATACGCATGTATTCATGTGAAGGTACAAAGAAACCAAGCACTGGTTTATGGACAGAAAGGAAAGCAGGGTCAGCCAGTTCTGCATAACAGCACATGCATCCAAACTACAGCTGACAGCCTTCAAAGGGCTTATGGAGCCTCACCCAGAACTGATGTCTCCTTTTTTCCCTTAGAAAAAAATTAGTGTGTTTTCTGCAAAATAAAGGACAAGCCTTCCTCAGTCTGTATTGCCTTCTTTCCCTTCTGATTATTTATAAGTGCATAATACTGTTGTATCTTCACAAGTAATTATCCTTTTAACTCTACAAAATAATCTTACAGTATAGTTTATGGCTTGTGACCAAACTTTTCTATCTGTCCAAGTGTTGCTGTGGTGCTGTCACTGCTCTGAATATCCCTGGCAAGCACAGCAGTCATTCCCTAATGGTACAAACATTTCAGCCAGGTACTGGGATAGCTGTACAAGGCTGCCTTCCCAGAGGAAGGCATTAAAAAAGTAACTGTGAAAAGTGTATTAAATTAGGATAAAAGCTTTTATTTTCGCTCCACTGTATTTCCAGTGTTTTAAAAGGATGGTAAAAGACCCTGACACCCTGCTTCTCTCACTTACGAGGTTTCAAATGGGGGCACTGAGGCAAGCACAGGAGGAGGCTGGCTCAGACACCTTAGTCATGTGGAGGGTGCAGCCAGAGCTAACTTTTAGAATACTGAACTGAGGTAACACACACCTACATTAATTTATGTATCTACATTTCTCCCTCCAATTTAAGGAGAAGAATTTAGGATACCTTTCCCAGTACACTGAGATCCCGCATTCATCTCAGTTCTTTATATTTAGACTATAAGAGGTTTCAGAAAACATTTAAAAGGTAAAAGAAGGACAAAGCATCCTGAAATATGATGGTTTTACAAAAGGGCAAGGAACCTTTCTGTCTCTTGCTATGCAACCCTGTAATGGTTTTCTTTTGAGACTCATTTTTGACTGAAACTGAAAATTAAAGTTTTCAAGGTAGCTAGAATCAATCACAGTTTGCATGTGTAACAAATTTGATTACAATAGGGGTTTTCACTGCTAGATTATCTGAGAAAATCAAAATGCGCAGAGAAGCTGATTCAGCCTTTATCTTCTTCAGTATAAAGAAATATTAAAATTTAGAATTAACAAAATTTTTATTTAAATAAATCTTATTCTTCTGTAGATCAATAATAACTTATGATCCAAGTACATCTAAAAGTTAAGCATTTTACTGTGTGTAAAATATGATGATTTGACACTCACAGATCAGAAACTGTTCTGCAGCTGAATATCACATACAGTTAGTATTGTATTTTGGGGGGAAATGTTGGAATTTTGCATTATAAAAGTTTATTAGTAACACTTCAAGGATTAACATGACACAGTCAAGAAATATATCACTAATAGCAATCAATCAATCAACCAGATTATTTCCTAAATATACAATTTAAACTAAACAGACCATTTCCTATTTGTTAAGCTTAACTAGAAGAGTGCAGCAGCTGATTCAGTTAAAAAAAATCTTAACTGCAGACCTTTTAGACTATTTAAATTCTATTTTTTAGGCAGAAATTACTAGATATTCAGACTATATCTATGGTTTGCAACATAAAATCCTAATGTATAATCAGTTTACCAAGGTGCAGGAATTATTCTTCCTAGTTTGACCTTCTCTCCAGAAAATCACTTTTGGATATTTTGGAATCAGAGATAAATGGACTGAATAAAGTCTAAAATCTGATGGCTGGTAAGTATTTACATCACTTTAAACAAAATTACTGTCCATGCTGATTTATATTCAATAGGTAGGGAAAAAATGCTGGTGTTAAGTGCACAATAAGAAAAATTGAGGTAAGAACGGAAGACTGCCCATAACACAATGTCCAAGGAAAATAATGGATTTTAAAGAACATCTTCTCCTCTTAAGTAACAGATATTGCTGAACTGATTAAAAGAACCCAGACTTAGCTTTATGGGTCATAGTGTGCAACCACAACCTAAAAAATATTTCATAGCCTTTCAGTTAAAGGAGTGGCATCAATGATACTACCAAAATGCAATAAATATTACCAAAAGACAATAAATTCTCTAAGCTCACCAAAGAGACTAAGCCAAATATTAATTAGTCACACATCCATGATTACCTGTTCCCTCAGTTACACTAATGGTATTTTGGAGTCTGATTCTTAATGTAATTGAAAGCTAATTTTTTCAGCTGGAAGTGCTTCAAGGAAAGAGTAATGTGGATGGCAACTGAGATACCTGGAGATGCTCAGATACATATAGATACAAAATTCAAATATGACATTAGAAGAGAACATCCATCTTATTCACTGAATAATTCCACATGCAAATTCACTAGTGTAATGTGTATGGTCCTTTTTCACAATGTTAAAAATATGATACCAGGAGGAAATGGAATTTTAAGAAACATTCCAGTTCTCATATTTTCTAGAAATCTGGTCTTTTAAGTATGTAAATTTTAATAATCTGAGTCTTCCAATTAAACAATTTTAATACTGCCTGAATGATGTGTCTACAGTACTTCCTATTCTCACAGTAATTTTTACACTAACTTGCTACATTTTTATTGTTATTGCTGAAAGCTGGTAATTGTAGCAAGGTGAATTTGACTGTAATTTTTTAAGAAGAGATGAAAAAAAAGAAATAACCTAATGGATGTCCTGGACTAAGCCTAAGTCTAAGCATGTCAGTCTATGCAATGTGTCATTACTACTAAATCCATAGCAGTCAGAAGCATTAAGAAAACTTTACCACTCTCATCAAACAAAAAGAGATTAAATTCTTCAGCAGCTTCTTCCAGGGTCTGTAAGAGTATGCATTATTCTCTAAAACAGAAGAAATTTACTCTGAGGGAAAGATTTTTAACAGAAAATAGAAGTTAAAGGCGTAGAGATGAGCTAAGGCATTTCTCTAGCAATCACCATAATTCTTTGATCTTTTTAATTCCCTTAACATCGTGGATTTTATCCAAATAACAATAGCTTATCAGCTACAGAATACATAATTATGGTATGTTTAGATTACCAGGTAAATGCATATTTTTTAAAAACTTTTATGGGATATGCAAAACATGCTGAAGTGGGAAAACAAACAACTCTGCAATGTAACAAGTATTCTTAATGTTTCTTTATTAGTTTATAGGAATCTGCAGCTAGTAACAATCTGCCTCTCACAGTTCAGAGCAAAGCTACTGATACACAGCTACTTACTTTGCACTGGTTTCGCTCAAAAAGTTGTTAAGAACACTTATATTCAATACAGAATTAAATTTTTCACAGCTAATACAGTACCCAAAATTCACAAACTTCTTCAAACATGATCTATAAAGAAAGGAGTCTAGGATCTACAGCACTCATGCATTAACTGATTTTCTGTGTTGTCCTCTACATTTCTTCTTTTATTTCTATACAAGTCTTCTTCAGCATAGTCAGATCTGTATTCGTGAAGATGACAGATAGTTACAAGAAATCTCTACTTAGACAGTTAAAAAAATCAAATCATAACTGAATAATAGTCTGACTAAAATTAAACTTTTGTGCTTAATGAGGTTTAGTTAAGAATATAAGCTCAGGAGAACACTGTTTATATCGTAGAGAAGAAGGGGATACCATGCAGAAATTCAAACCTGCCTGGCATTGGTTTGTCTTGATTAAAATTCAGCACATTAAACATGTCAGATCTGTGGCTACATGACATACCAGAACCATGATATATTCCAATTTTGGGTCAACAGTGTCTTGCAAAGGTTCATTTTGACCTGCACTATAATTCAGCACATTCCGAGAGCTAAAACTTCGTTCAGAAGAGTGAGTAATGAACTGCAACACAACACAGAACTTCACAACACAACTTGAACTGTGGAATTAAATCAAAATAATGCTTTCAATTTGTTAGCAACATATCTGACCAAGGCTAGAGGCATGATGAAGTCAATAAAATCTTGTTAAATAATCTTCATGCACAGAATGGCACTTTTGAACTATCTTGTGCAACACCGTGAAGTACATAAATTGCAGTAGGTGGAATGAAGGACTGAGCAAAGAAAAGATGTGTTCACAATGAGACCTGAGGCATACAAGTGATTAGTCAAAAGGCATCTTAGGTGGTAATTTTAATACTTAATAAAGGTAGTAACTGTAAAAGTCCTATGTTTCACATTTTAGATAAGAGCTCTCACTTCTGTAAATATTCATTAGTATCTCTAGAGTAAACCCCTTATTATACTGAGTTGAAAGACATACAAGTCAGTTGAATTGCTTTTCTGGGAGATGCCTGTGGGACTGTAGTCAAATTTCTGCTTCACAGAAATATCCAGGTGTGGATGTTACTGCTTTAGACTCTGTATTTTGTTTTGCCACGATCATTGATAACACATATGTGCTGAAAAAAACCAGAACAGATTGCAAAAGCATGGTTGAGTACATTATTAATTATTAATTCATTGTTCAGAAATACTTAGGTTTGTCCAACCTACTGATCTTAAAATTACTCTTTCCTTTCCAGACATCTGGAATTCTGATTTAGCTTTCTAGCTACAGCACTTTTTCCTACTTGGAATTCCCAGCTTTGAGGTGCACCCCTGGGAGTACCACAAGAAGCAAAGGAAAAGTTTGCACCTTTTTTCCATCCTCACTTCTCAGAGAAAGGGAACAGGCAGCACGGCATCCAGAGAATGTCTGACCTGTATCTGTGTTGCACTTTTGCTGCTGTCTCAGCACATACTGGCAGTGGTGGTCCTGAGGAGCCCTACGCTCACAGAGGATGGAAATTTAGGGAACTCTTGGGGGCAGAAACTGTTCACAGTGCTGAGCAGGGACTCCTTTGGATTATTTAAGGTTTTGTAGGGAGTTTTGTATTCACTGAAAGCATCCCAAATCCCAACCACGTCAAAGATATACTTCTACAGGGCCCCAAAGATGATACAAATTATGGGATGTTTATGGCAATAGATACAGGAAAAGTAGATCAGCGACTTTTTAAACTGTTTCTTAAATAAGAAACTTACATTTAGATCTCTGAAGTGCTCATTGTAGTCTAAGGCATAGCCTACCACAAACAAATCTGGAATTTCAAATCCGTAATCTGTATTGAGACAAATAGAAAGCACCATCAATACAAGATCAGTGGCAGTTATAATCCATTAAATTCATGCGTGGTCCTCAACAAGCAAATTCTACTGATATATAGTCAGCTGGGGCTATGTTACCTTTGAATCTGAAACATCTTGGTCAGCAGTAGCCCCATAACCACTTCCAGACGAGAGGAGAGGAGAGGAGAGGAGAGGAGAGGAGAGGAGAGGAGAGGATTTTGTTTAAAATTATCACTGGCAAATTGTAGAAGGAAGTCAAAATCAGAGCTGGAACATTCTGCTTGCATTTGGAAGCTCCACTGGTATACACGTGTGATGATTACTGTCCTGTATCACAGGAATGATGGAAAAATGTAGACTATTAAATCAGAAGTAACTTTCAGAGATCTATATATTTTCTGCTAAGAATAGCAAAATCTATCTCGTATTTTACGCTACCAAAACATGTGAAATGCTTCTTAAATTAAAGCCCCAACCTTATGAAGATTCAAGCACATGCTTAACAAAGTAAATGCATGCAGTGCTCCTCAATTATACAACTCACACACCTGAAGCTAAGCACAGACATGCATCTTTTTGAGTGTGAAGGTCAGCACTACATAAAACAAGTTAGACTCTTTCCAGTTTGTTCTCTACATAACTAGAGGAAAACCCAGTCTTACAGACACAAAAACAGGTCCACATAAAAAATTCTACATGTATTCAGTTAAGGAATTTATTCATTTGTTTCAGATTGAGAGTTATTGGAATTGTAAATTTAGGTAAGTGAGGAAATGATACAGCACTGTCAGTGATGTACAAAAGAGAACTCGTGTTTTATAAAATTCATAACACAATGAATAAACAAGGATAAAATTTGTTTCATTCAAGAGTTAATACATAAAAATATAAAGCTGCCCTTCATGAAGTAATTGTATTGCCTCTTTTATATGTTTAGCATTAGTGAATCCAGTCAAATATATGCCTGAATTTACTGGACTAAATTCTAAATGTTAAAAATACTACTCCACTGTATAAAAAGTTGTACAACAAAATGTTTGGATTATAGTTCAGATAACAGGACTAAAACCCCAGGGCCATGCCCAACATTTAAGTAGTTTTTCCTTCATAAATTTTCCCTCCCTCCCACATCCCAAATCAAAACCCTCCATGCTGCCTCCTGATACTCACCTGCCTACTCTCCTTCTACCCTCCTCCCCAGCTCAGCTGACCAGATACTTCTTCAGTAGCAAATACTGGTCGATCTCTTCTAGATGGATCTATTCTTTTCGTATTTAGCCACATACCTGTTATTACATCATTTATTCTAAGTAAGTCTAAAATGACAATTGCTTGGTATAGCTCCATTTACAGCTTCATCATAACACTGTATAAGGACCAATAATTTAGAGAGAAATGGTGCTGCTGTGGTGCAAACTGAGCAGCAGGAGAAAGTCTAAAAAGCCCAATTCATCTTCTGCTCTTTAGGGGGTGGGATTTAATTACAATATCAGTGTTTTGCCTTTGAAAAATAATACTGGAAAAAAAATAGAAGTGCTTTTCTGAATAAAAAAAAAAAAAAATTAAACTTGTTAATACTTAGTCACAATAAAACACCTTTTATGCTCAGATGGAATCCTGCAGCTCCTCCAGAGATGCAATGAGGAAGGAAAAAGAAGAAATGGGTATTCTCTTCAATATTGTTTGTCAGAGACAGAAGATAAAACACTCACCTTTCATTGATAAAATTAAACCCTTTCAAAATTTCCCAAAAAAGTTAGTATTCTGAGGAAAACCTAAGTAGGGCAGGCTTTCCAAATGACAATTATACAAATCCTTCCATTGCATCCCATAGACCCATTGACAACTGGTATTTTACAATGCTTCTAGAAGTCCATAGAATATTATGAAAGGCAAGTGACAGAGTAGTGGTAACTTCTTCTACTGTCAAGTAGAGATTTTCGTAACACCACTTACAATCTGGTCTGTACCCATCAGGCCGAGATGTTCTTTTCACCAACAAACTGCAATTAAAAATAAAATAAACCCCATTTAAATCTAGATATGTAACTGAATAACACACATAAAAACTATTCTCTTTATCAAAAATCTTCTGAGCCATGTGAGTCACTGTTCTTGTTCTGTTTGTCTTCCTGACAACATCCTGATTGCAGGGAAGAGCTGGGTGTATTCCCCTCCCAAGTCCATCAGTGCCAGTCTTGAAATGGCTGGATGGTCATTGCCAAGGCAGAACAATACAAAAGCATTTCCCCTCCTTTCCTTCACCCTCCCCTTAGTGCCTCAAGCAGCTCCTCTGCACAGCTTTCCTTCATACTGCAGCATCAAATTAAAGCAAGATCTCTGAATGGGAATCTACTCTGGAAAATATGCTGGGCTAGACTAAGTAATTACTAAGTTTTGTGATCGTTTTACTCACCTTGCCACTTTAATCATCTTCGGCTTGTATTTTTCTATATTGTTAAGCAGAACCTTCATGGTTCTTCCGGTTCCAACAATATCCTTATAAAACAAGAAAGATAAAGTAAGTAAAACAAAAAAGGAAAGCTGAAAGGAGGAAATCTGGACAATGACTGAGAAGTTCCACATTCTTATTTTGTAGAGATGATTTATTTTTCCAGTGCATTGTAAACCACATCCAAAAAAGGTTATAATTGAGCTTACACTCTTTGAAGTAAGCACTTTCTATTCATAAAATTATCAGTTCAAGGACTGTCCACCTCCTCTTGGAAACAGCTATGTTGCAAGTACTTGGGATGTAACTCGGGACTGGAGATGATTGTAATGGGCACTGCAAGGATGCAGAGATCAGACTTTTCATATTATGCTTGAGATCACAGTATGTCAACATATCTCCATGTCTTGACTAAATCTGCCCTATTTTTTGTTTTATTAGCACAGTACAAATGTGCTTTCTCCAGAGCTGCCATGTCCAATATAATTTTAATGAGATCAGTAGGTACCTGGCTAGAAAACTGACCATGGAGAGTAGCTGTTGATCCTGAACTCTGGGGGTAGATTAGCAACACCTTGTCTCTGCCCTCCAGCTGTTTAATAGCGTTAACAAAATTTGCTGTGGGCATTTTTAATTTCTGTTAAAGCAGTTGTAATGAGTAAATATGGAACTCTTGGCAGCTATTGAGGTAACCATCCATCTCTGTAGCTGATGGCTTTTTTCCCGTCCTTTGCTAAGAGAAGAAATTTCAACAGTATACAGCTCATTACACTAGCCAGCTTACTTCTCAAACAACCAGTAGACTGGTTCTGAAATGCCAGGCAAATCCTAACGAGCTCTCTAGCTGTCCCAGTTGCTTATTCAACATTTTCAGAGAATCATCTGTCTTAATCATATGAGAATTTGGAGCACCAGTGAAGGGACATGCTCTTTCCCTCTGCAACTGAACACTGCTGACTTACATCAGCAACTGCTCTGTGATGGGCTGTCCCTCGGGGACACTGCTGGGCGGAGAGCCGGATGCAGGAGTCGGGGGCATTGAGGGAATGACTGACATTCCCAACCAGACTGTGAACAACCCTAGGGCTGTAAAACATATGCAGGGCCACTGTTTCAAAGTCATGCACCTGAGAAATGCAGGGCATCACTGCAATTGATTCATGGTCCTCCAAGGAACAGAACAACTTGAAGAACAGGAGTTGATGAAACCACAGAAAGAACAAATCAAATGAGGCAGAAACAAAGACTCCTGGATATCACATGGCAGAGCACCAGTTAGTGACAGCAGTGTAGTTAGATCTGTCATGCAATTGCAAAAAGACTGAGAGGCCATTAAGCAAATCAACCCCTCTCCCTCTCTGCCACCTCCCAGAGCAAGAAGTGTAAACACAGGATTTAGAAACTGAACAGCCAATCATGATTTGGCTGTGTGACTTTATCTAAGTACAATATGACATAAGCACCCAGCTTACCTCCACAATTAGAACATTCTGGAAGAAACAAACAAAAATTAATACAATTACATAATATTCACATAGTAAAAGAAACAAATGTTTAAAAAAGGGAAATGAAGATAGGTCCATGTGCATATGTATAACACAGTAGGACACAAGGAGTTTCCTGTTTCATTTTTGTGCCCTGAAAAAGAGCCAGCCATAAGAGCAAGCCCTGCAGTCAGGGACCACAACTTAATTCAGCTCTGTCTAGATGATCCTCTTTGTCCAAGAACGGATGTAGCTTTGGAAAATAAAATTAGATGGAAGAAATCCAAATAGGACGAGCTTCCAGTGTCTCTAGCTATGTACTGCAATGAACCCTATAGTTCACTAGAATACTATTTCCAGTGTTAGTATGAGAATACAGCAATAATATTCTTTCTCTGAAATAAATGCTCTTCCTCCCTCCACCCACACCCCAGCAACTTCACAGTAAAGGATTAGAGCTGATGAACTTATGAAAGTTGTAACACCCACTCTCATACTGCAAAGCACCCTCTTTCTCTTCAGATACTGCTGCTGAAATCAGTAGTATTTGAAGAGGAGTGGCCCAGCCAAGAGCAGTGATGTCAAGCTTTATGACTGTATCATCATACAGGCTGGATCTTTTTGCTGAAATGGTTCATCAATGTTCCAGGAATTACAATGTCTAAGGAGACTTCAGTTCTTCTACTAAAAGCAATAATAAGATGTAATATCCTTATTAGAAGAAATAAAAATCTATTTATTAGTAGGCATGATCATATGCATGATCAAAAGGATGGACTCTTAGAATCTTGCATTAAGATCTACTTTCAGAAGTGAAACCTGCAGTAGCAAGAGGAAAGTTGTTTCACAAATACCTTTATCTGTCAATGTATGCATCTTACATGGATGTGCATGCTGAGTGTCCTGCAAAACCTCAGGACCACATAGTTTCATATCCATGCAGTATCCACCAGCCTAGCTTACATTCTACTTCCTTTCTATCAGGCTTGTTGGCTTTACTACATACCTAACATGGAGACTGTTTAACTTTCTTTTCCATAACAGAAACCCAAGGTTGAGAGCTGAAAGAGAGACTCAAACACATGGAGGAGTGTGTGAAAGAAGCATGCTCACAACCAGCACATCTTTAACAGCTTCATTAACTGATATGTAAATAACTTTTAATCTTCAAATCAGAAATTATTAATATAGATTATCCATATTTATATTCATACTGCAGCTCTTCCTAACACTAACAGTGCTTGGTAGGGAGACATGGCATACTTCACGCATTAAGCACTACAGAAACATGTTAACACACACTGTATTATACCTGGATGCTTCTGAAATGGCAAAACACTTGGTAAAGGTAAAAGGTAAAAGGAGGGAACTCCCGATAGCAGTTGAGCAAATGTCAGCAATGGAGATACCACTCAAGAAAGCCACTAATTTAGACTGATTCCACTCTGGTGGAATGTATATTAATCTTGGAGGGAGGCTCCTTTTTGGTGTTTTCATAACAGGTTTCACTGGTGGTTATCCTGCTTGGCACTCCTGACTTTCAACCTCTCAGCTGCTGACACACACAACTTTGGAGCTCAAACACCTAGTCCTGTGAAGGCAAAAAGTTAAAGGCCTCTTAAAGTCTGAAGACACCTTGCCTCTAGAAACTTTTCCCTTCAAGAAAAAAATGGAAGTATATCAGTTGTCTAGATAAGATGAAGACCCAAAACCATATTCAGGAGAAGCTTATGACAGGTGTGTAGGAACACATTTTTTTTGAAGGAAACCATGTGGATCCAGAAACAATTTGTTCTCATCTAGCTTCTTATATGAAGTCATAAGTGGGAAAAAGACTTCTGAGGACTATATTAGGACACCTGGGTCTGAGGCATAATGAAATTACTTGATTCAGTCAGTGGACACCTGAAGATAATGTGCAGGAGTAATTGCTTAACCACCCCAAGGAACTTGTGCAGCTGGTGATATATGTAAATATTGATGTGTTAATGCACACACACACACACACACACACACACATACACATATATATATATATACATATATATATATATATATATATATATGATATAGGGAGAAAGCAAAAGAGTTGACAAGGAAAGAACCTCACCAGAACTAAAAATGGAAATGAACTCTTAGTAGCAGGCCCAGTGAGAGTAGCCATGGTCAAACACAGCCCATGGATCTCAAGGTAGGTCCATAGAGTTGAGACAGGTTCAACAAAGCCAGCCTATGAGTCAGGGTCTGGGTCAATGTTTTCAGTAATGTACAGGTTTGGCTGTAACTGAGCTGAAGGTCAGTACCCACTCAGCACAGATCAGGCATGGACTAAGAGCCCAGGGCTGAGCTGGTGTTCCTGTGCCCACAGGTGTGAGAAGAGGTCCCAAGGGACACAGGTCATGGCCATTTCTTCTCTTTTTTCTTCTATATTTGAAAGACATATTTCCTCAGTTCCCTCTTCTGCAGATTAAACAACCTCTATTTGTTCAACATTTTCTCATAAGTTATATTTCCTAGCTTTCTGATCACTCTTCTGTTCTCCTCTGGAATCAGTTCAGTTGGTCAGAATCCTTCTCCAGTTGTGATGTTCCAAACCAGAAATAAGACTTTTCCAGTGTCAAGAGGAATAAAAGAACCACTTTGTATGCTTTATAAATAATCCTCCTTTCTAAGTATCCCAGTACAAGAGTTACATCCTTTATAAAAATTTATAAAAATATAAAATTACTGGTGTCTCATGTGCAACTTGTGATCCACCTATTGTCTCCAGGACTGTTGCTGAGTCAGTGCTCCCTCATTTGCATTATGCAAAAGATTACTTCTGTATAAACACAGAAGTTGGTATTCATCTTTATTGTCGTTACATGTCATTCTTTCATACAAATTCTTAAAATAATTTAAGAACATAATACCGTGTAGTATTTTTCCAGGCAGTATGAGTACCATTAAATGCTAATTCTGTCTTTTCAATCATGAATTAAATATTGTACAGTCCCTGGAGAGCATGCTTTAATGCATCTCGTCTGACAGAGAGGCATAATTAACTGTTTCTTGAGAACAGCTTTCCAACCAGTTACACATCTGTCTAATAGAAATTTAATCTTGTCTGTGTTTCCTTATCACAAATGACTCATACGAAGGGAAGAGGATTAACGTGGATACAGACATGCCTGAAAGGTTTGTCTGGCTACAGGAGTGACAGTCACCTGCACATGACTTCAGCCGAAGTGTAAGATCTCATATTTATTGACTAATTTGAGAAGGAAGGATTTTGGTGGACACTTTCATCCCCAAGAGTCAAAGAGTCCAACTGTTGCAAATGATATACATTGGAGAAGCTCCTGTAAGATGTCTAGGCCAGAAAACAAAGATGCTGTTTTATATTATGCCCATTCTCATTATTTCCAAAACACCGATAAGGATTTTCTGTACTATGGAGAAATCCTTTTTTTAAGACCTTTGCAGTGGAAAAGCCACTATAAAATATTTAGATACAAAAACATTTTGTAACTATAAGTAAGTAGGCATTCTAACTGCTCAGAGTGATACTTTGATCTCTGTTATCGTTATGCAGGGTTACTGTGTCTAAAGTCTCCCTACTTTTCAGTCATTAACTGCTGCTTATGACCAAAGGCATTCAGAGTGATTTGCCATCTTCTGGTACACAAACCCTCTCCTACAAAATACTGTGCTGGGAAACTGACTGTATTGCTGCCTATCCCCTGCCTTTCTACTGTTGAAGCAGTCTACAGCTAGATTTCAGAAAAAGGATGGAACAGCAGAGTAGTAGAGGAACAAACTGAAAACTGCCAAGAAATGTTTTCATATACAGTGTCCAAGACAAGATAGCAGTGCCATCTAACTAAAACTGGTTGAAATAGATTAGCTTATCCTTGGTCAGATGGATAGCAGAGGAAAGAAGAATGCAATGGATATGACAAATCAGTACATCATCAGTAATGTCACCATCATCCTAAAGGCACAGCTGGCTGTGCCCAGCATCCCTTGTGAAAGGTCAGTTATGTGGAAGACCTTATTCAGGTTCACTGTGAAATCCTCACATGAGCCGGTGCACAGGAGACCAGTATAACTCATCAGCTTGTGGTGCTGTAGCAGTAACAGACAGCTGGACAAATAGGAAGCTAAAGGACACTGAAGAAAAGATTTTTTTCTCAAGCATGTGTGTTTGAAGCTCCTGTACCACACAGATCAAGAATGTTTTGTCCTTTCAGATATATTAGAGGCTATTACAAAGAAGGAAACCACATGAAAAGAAAAGTAATCCAGCCTTCTGGATTCTGTCTACTTTCAAAACTCGGAGAACAGGATATAGGAATATTTACTGGCATGTTGACTAGACTAAAGGTGACTTTATTTCTGAGTAGAGCCATCTTCACTAATACAATCTCTGAAGTACATCCAGAAATCTAATAATGGTGCTAATATATCTTACAGTGAGACAGAGTACAGTCAGTTTTTTAAAATATGTCCTGGAAAGATTTCATATACATAGTCCAAATGAAAAGGGATGCTGGCTGCAGAGAATGAAACACCTTCCTACTTCCTACTGAGTCATTGTAAAAGAACCAACATTGCAAAGAATAAGCTTCCATTACTGATGGATCAGAGGCATGGCTGGGAGCTGACAAATTTGGATGACTGTGATTCATTCTGTGTTTACAACATTTTTTACCAGGTAGCCGGCAGAAAGCAGGCTGGTGCAACACATAGTCAAAGAATACCTCGAGTTGGAAGGGACTCATAAGGACCATCAAGTCCAACTCCCTGCTCTTTGCAGGATTACCTAAAACTAAACCATATGACATTGACCAGATGCTTCTTGGAACTCTGACATGCTTCAGACCCTGACCACTTCCCTGGGGAACCTGTTCCAGTGACTTGACCAGTGAAGAACCTTTTCCAGCTGTCCAATCTGAACTTCCCCAGACATGGTTTCATTTCATTTCCTCCTGTCCTGTTGCTGGTCACTAGAATATGCACTGCCC